AACCTTTATATTAGTGAATTTGTAGAAAGAAGAAACAGAATACAAAATGTTTGTGAGAGATGTTTTGCTTAATACAATTCATAATAAGTTATCCATATATACTATTATAGAAGTATATATTGCACTTGAAAGAGGAATTCTACTAAGAAATCCTTAGTGCTTTTTATGTATTTTTAATATTAGTAAGTTATAGTATATTTTTCAAAGAAAAGAAGAAATTGTTACTTCTTGGTCAACACCATCTTTTACTAGATATGGTGCAGTTAAGCCTAGAATAGTGATTACTTTGTTGGTTTAATGTGAGAGCAAATATTATAACAAGTTTATAGCCTTGTCTGAAATATAAATTCTTTTGAGAACCTTGTATAAGATGGCAATATAAATTAAATCAAATTTTTTGACATGTTTTGAAAAAGAATTCAGATTTCTTTATTGTTTGTAATTGCATTTTCAAGGATATAAATAAGTTAAGAAATAGATTATAGTATAGATTAATATGAAAAGGCTACAAAATTGTAATGTAATAGCATTTGATTGTGAATTAAGATGTTTGTAAGTCAAGTTGTTATAATTTTTGTGAAAATTTTTTTAGTATGATTAATTAGTATAATAGAATAAGTGAAGTAAAGTTCATAGTTGTAATGTTGTTTCTTTGAAATTGACCAGATGTTGGCTTGTAATTACTGATTAGTAATAATTTCTTGTATTATACAGCTATTAGATATGTTTAAAAGAAAATAAAATGCTGATAAAGGCAGGTGTTGAAAAACTTTGTTTGCAATTTCTAGAGGTCTGGTTGCTTTCTTTTTGGATATTACTTTTTTATTTTGTTTAAGTTCTGTTATAGTAATAAGAGATAGAAGGTTGTTATATATATTGCTTTGGATATTGTTAAGTAGAAGGTAAGTTGTTTTCTATTCCTTCTAATTGTTCTTATTTGGGAGTTTGCTTCTGGTTCAGTATTTAAAATATAGACATGTTGCTTCTTTAATTTCATTTTTCTCTGTAATTATTTTGTCAGATAGGATAATTTTTTCAAAGCTAATTGGTTTTGCTTTTCTTTTTAGTATGATATCTAGCATATGACTAGTATTGTCTTTAAAATCTGAGTATCTTTAGTTTGTATAGAATTTAATTTGTTTGCTTTTTTTCTGTTTTTTTTTAAAGTTGTATATCTGCCAAATTACATATTTGTGATATTTTATTTGTGCTTTGTATCTAAAAGAAAGAAGCTTAATTATGTTTGTGTTATTAAAAAAATATTAATTTCTGCTAATATAGCTGCTTTTGCCAAATAATGGTTGGCTTCAGTTAGATTATTTGATAGGTTATTACTAAGGTATTGTAAATATTTATTAATATATTTTAAAGCAAAATGCAATTTAGTAGCTTTTAGTAAAAGTGCAAAAAAAGTTTTGGCACTGTAAAGCTATATAAAATGTGTTTATTTATTGTTTTTTTAGTTTTTGCTAACTAGAAGTTTTAGGTCTTGTTATTTCATTTTTGTTCATATTGGGTAAAAAAATAGGTTGTGTATTGACAATGGTATTTATAGCATTTTTAAAGTTGTTTTAGTCTTTAGACATTATTTTGTTAAATTAATATATAAATTTTTTTTTGTTTCTGGCTTTTTTTTGTAAAAAAAAGTTAGTGTATTATGTTGTATACAGAATATAGTAATTATTATCAAAGATGTTTGAAGCATTGACTATTAATGAAGATTCAAATGCTAGTAATATATTAGAAAAGATTCAGAAGTCATCTATTTGACTAGCATTATTAGAACTATGCCAGGTAGATGCTTTGATATTATGAAAGGTTAGAAGACTAGTTAAATTAGCAGTATTTAGCTCAGTAAATAATGAAAATTGTTTGTTTTTGTGTTGGTTAATATAAAAATCTTCTAATATAATTAGATGTCAGTTTTTAGCTCTAGCTTTTGTAGTTCAAGTGAGCAATTGAGATTAGGTATGTTTTAAGAAAAAGGCATGGTTTAAAGAAAGGTAAGTTAAGATAATGTAGAATTTGTTATTATTAGAAACGAAGAAGTCTATGCAAATTGCAGTACCTAGTAAGGTATTAATTTTGTAAATATATGGTTGTAGTTGGTTGCATATTATTAAGACTGTTTCCAAACTGGTTTTTTATTAGTTTAATTTGTAAGATATAAAATTTAAAGTATATATTTTGTATAATAGATTGGTTAGTAATCTGACTGTTGATTCTTTTAATTTGGTTTCTGTAAAAGAGACTATATGCAAATTTGATACTGCACAGTATTTAATCTATGTTTGCATTTTTAATATGTTGTTAGCACTTCTAATATTATGAGTAGTTATGTTAATTTTTTTATTTAGATTAAATTCAAGTAAGTTTGATTCTTTTTTTTGTAATTATAAGTTAATTATTAATAAGGTATTGTTGGCAGTTAGTGTGTTTATATTATTAATTAATATTATTATTGTTAGCATTTAGGTGAAAAAATGTTTTAGCTTGGTTTTAGAAGAGGTGGTAATGCTAATATATTATCAAAAATATTGTTAATTGTAAAGTATTGTTATAACAAATAAATAGCTGTGCGACATTGTTACGCAAAACCAGAAACGGAAGGTGGATTTTCAGATCGAGTTCAGATGAAACTGCTTTTGTCATAAGTTTTTTGTTTGCTTAACTTTTATAAGTTTTATTTGCAAGTTTAGATTAGATTATATGCACAGTAGGTCGAATACTAACTATATTATTTAGATGGACTTATATGCAGTTCAGATAGATTAATATTAGTGTGGTATAGATGTAGCATTCTTGCATTTATGTAGTTTTTTTAAAATAAATTATTTACTTTCGTTGTTATTTTATTTCATGTAACTAATAAATATAATAAATGTTTGTTAATAGGTGTATTTAAAATAAATTATTTATACTATATTAATCTCATCATATTTTAGTTGGCAAATTTCATAATTGATTTGTTAAGTACCCGGGTATTTTACATTCACAAGTGCAATTAATCTGTCCTTAGTATCTGAGGCACTTTATATTCTGGGCCTCCAAAAATCATGAGAAGTATTATAAAAAGGGTCTTTTAGTCTATGCTGTACGGTGATTTGCGATTAAACATAAGTGTAAAAAGCAGAGAATCAAACATTTGATAGCAGTAAGTAGGTTAGTAAAGTGATAAATGGTTCGATTCTTAAGTGTATATTTAAAAAATACATACCTTTGAAGTATTGAACTTAGAATAGCTAAAATGAATGAATACAGTTAGACAAAATTTATTATTTTCTAGATAAATCTGTAGCATATTCTAACAGTATATATGTTATGCGTCACTTCTCAATTTATGTTAATTATTAATTGACCCCTGTCATTTTTCAAATTCCACTGATCGATAAATGACCCAGGTCAATTCTTAATGCAGATCATATTATGATCAACGATAGCTTATTAATAATGCCAATGATAAATAAATAAATTTTGAAAAATATTTTTTACCATGTATATTTTTTTTCTTTTTCTATTAATGAATCTATATAATTATTCTTCTCTGACCTATGAGACTTTAACCGGATATTGGAAACATACATGAACAAAAAAAAATTAAACGAAAAAAAAATTAAACGAAAAAAAATCAAACGAAAAAAAATTAAACGAAAAAGAAATTAAATGAAGTTTGATGGATAGAAAACGTCGCAATGAATGTCTCAAGATATTAAAAAATCCCACCAAGCAAAATATTACACGTCTAATTTATAATATTCAGGAATGTCAAACTTATAATTTTTAACACTTGAGTCATAAAATTTATACTATGTAAGAATGACCCAAGAACACTTGACTCATACATTTCCGAAGTAAATAAAATAAAATAAAATTTTTGAATTTCAATTAAAATTTTACTGAAACTAACATCATATGGCATCCCTCTAGAGAGGGTTGGAAAAAAAATCTTTACTGATATAATTTGAATTAAAGTAACAATGCAAATAATAATGGTTCAAGTCGAAAGACTCGTCCAAATTCTTGCAGTTGCCAAAAAACGAATTGCAGTACTAAATCTTGCTCTTGTAGAAAAAAAATTCGTCATACACAAGGCAAACATTTTTAGTTTCATTATTAGATTTTCATAAACTTAAATATTTTTAGTTAAAATTATACATACAAATATTTCTGCCAATTTTTTTTTTTATACCGACTGAAAATGATGTATGTCATTTTTCAATTGAAAAATGACATTTGTCAATAATAATTGACAGAATTTAAAAATGATGCGTAACATATATATTAGATTAAAATTTAATTACAGCTAAATATTTATTACAATGAGCCTCTAATTATGCAATCTCTCTAAATGCACTATTAAATCCTAGCTCAAATATATACTTTATCTTCATAAGTGCACTTTTTTATTATTCTCCAAGCGTCTCTTATAAAAGTTGAGTCTTTATAAAAGTTACTTAAAGAGTTTTAACTGTAGTACAATTCTAATTAATTTAAGAATTATTATAATTTATCCAATAGGATTAAGACTGAGCTTCTTTTTTTTTGAAATTACATTTATATAAGTTATTAAACGTCATATTAACTTTCTTAAAAATATACGAATCTATATAGACATCTTAGTACTAACCACTTTACTTCTATATGATATAACGATACGGTCAGAAATTAACATTATCGTTATTTAATAATCTATATTTAATAATCTAAAAAGGATAATTATCTGATCACAAACATCTAATTCTCATATTTTTTTTTTTTCATGTGTCAATAGACAAAAAGCATTATAGGTAAAAATCTAGAAATCACACGACGAAGTCACAAGATTAGAACAACCAATCGGATCATTATTATTGCTTGATCAGAGACTTATCTTTATTACTAATTAGATGAAAAACATATGGGGATAGGTCCACTATCTCAAGACCCTACTGTACCATATAATTGGACTAAGAAAATGCATAACCACAAACTCACTATGCTGGTCATTCACTATAGAAAATCTAAATGTGTCCGTCATCCCAAGGCACTACTGTACTATTGATCTGACTAAGGAAATACGTAATCACAGGCTCACTACCCTGGACATATACTATAAAATCTAAACGTTTAAGTCCATAACTATCGTAAGCCTTTATAGCAAAAAAGAGAATCGGGTACTAACAGTAATAGCGTTAAAGAAAATTTAACTTTCGAATGCACTAAATATGTACTGCACAGGTCCTTGAACTGCCAATGCAGCCATGGAGCTTGATTTTAAAGTCCTTGCACTGCCAAAGCAGCCATAGAGCCTAACAGGTCCTTGCACTGCCGAAGCAGCCGTGGAGCCTAACTAAGAGGTCCTTGCACTGCCGAAGCAGCCGTGGAGCCTAACTAAGAGGTCCTTGCACTGCTGAAGCAGCCACGGAGCCTAACTAAGAGGTCCTTGCACTGTCTGATTAGCCGCGAAGCCTCTTCTTACCAATACAGAGCTTACTAGCAAAAATTTAAACAACTGCTAAAAGAACAGGAAAGAACAGAAATGATGTTAGGGATGGAATGAGGGGGAAAGAGCCAGCCTTAACACAAGACAAGCGATAGCGAAAAGAAAGATAATCTACTAACAACCTCTAAAATCTTTAAATAACCATTTACTGCACAAAGGCGTCTTATACCTACATAGGAGACCCATACTCCTTACTTTACAACAATAACTTACCGCAAACTAATAAACATAATATCATCATATGCAATCAGGCCGCTATATCACGAAAACCCTGCTTAGAACTAGCGAACTATCAACTAATTACAACTATTCCATATAAGGCTAAACAATATATTTCCCATGATCTGAGTCCTCTGATCTCGCAATAATGATCGCTCTGTCACTTGGTTGACAAGCTTTTTAAAAAGAGACACGTCATTTCAGATGTCTGTTGTGAGCGGTAGGAACTCATACAGGGGGATCTCCAAGATTTCGGGTCGAAACCATCAGATTTAGCCTGGCATTTAGTTAGCATTTAGTAATACAAGTTAACCATTTCTGAGCCAAAATTA